TTTCTCGAAAGATCATTTTCCTTACTGAAAATTTATATTGTTTAGTTCTTTTATGAAATGATGTCACTTTGAAAGTTGTGATTTTTCATAGAAAGATACGTTTGTACGTTTTTGTATGAATATGATCGTTCATGAACGAATGTATTAATACGTTGATCTATAATGAGGTGAACCAACCGATGAACATGATCAAAATCTATTGCTAATTGGATTTGTTTCATGAATGAAGGTGCTATAATTTGTATATCATATAGGCGTATGAATAAATAGCATACAAATGCTTGAAAATGGCGGAGCGATTGCGAAATGTATTTTATATTAAAAGGTTGTGGCCACAACTGATGCCAATCATTCCAGCTGTTTTTATAATATACAATTGATACATTAAGTGTAGTCAATAATCTGGTATGCAATCGAAAGTCGATACGTATTAGTCTATGACATAAGAAAGTTTGCATTGAACTTTCATGACAACGAAACGAGTTTTGAAGTATTTGAAATATACTCCAAATTATGCTTTGCACTACAATAAGTATCATGCGATAATACAGGGGTATAGTGATGCAAATTAGATCACCGGTTCAACTGATTCTAAACAGTCGGTGGAGGAGCGATGTCTTGGAAATCGTCCAAACAACTGTGTGTTGAACGCTCTACGGTGGAGACTAAGTTTATAGTCTTAGACAAGGCCGGTGAAGAAGTTGAATGGCTCCGGAATTTCTTGGAAGATATTCCATTTTGGCCAAACCTTTGGCACTTATGTGTATACATTGTGATAGTCAAGCTGTAATAGGCAGGGCAAGGAGCGTTATGTATAACGGAAAATCTCGTCACATTCGACGGAGATACAATACCGTTAGACAACTACTCTCTAGTGGTGTTATCACGATTGACTACGTAAAGTCAAGAGATAACGTATCGGATCCACTTACAAAAGGCCTATCTAGAGAGGCAGTTGAAATATCATTGAAGGGAATGGGGCTAAGGCCTTGGACAAGTCATCATGGCGGTAACTCTACCTAGCAGATTGGAGATCCCAAGAGCTAAGTTCAAAGAGATCAAACAAAGTTATGAATGACGGTTCAACATTGTCAAATAACTCAACCCATTCTCGTGATGAAGACAATGTTCAGAAATCGAGGTAAAGCATTAAGGTTTTTTGATGAATCAATAAAGCTTAAAGCTTTTTAATGATTTTCTAAGTCTGGCAGGATATGACCAGATAGTGTGTCTATAGGATTACACGATTAGAAATCACCTATGTGAGTGTTAAGTGTAAGCCGCCTTAAGGGGAATGAAAGTAAAGGCCCATTCTCTAAGCACTCATGAAACCAGGCGGTGTTCATGGCTGAAACGAACACAATCGTGAAAACCAAAGACGGTTAAGGGTTAATTGTGTGACTTATGGTTGTCTAGGTATACACCAAAGTTCGACGGTTCAAAGATATCAAATCTGCCGATTGACCGAGGATATCCGACATAAGTTCAATACGGAAAGTTCAAAGGGAAACCTACTTATCCAGATGCGATTAATCCTTATTTGTGAATCACACGGTATTTTCATGCATGTTTTTCCTCATATGACCATTCTCCATTCATGTGAGGGATTGTTGCGTTTTTATTAAGGGGTGTGAATGGAAAATGGAAGAGCCACCTTTTAGATGGCACCTCTCCATATCACCCTTACTTTGTCTATAAATTTAGAGGCTTGGCCTCATTTTTAGACATGAAATCAGACATGTAAAATCTGAAATTTCTCCCCTCTTTTCTACATTGTTGCATTATTTTCTAAATAAACATAAGTGTCAAGTGTGATTTGCTCCGTTTGTTGAGTTCAAGTTCTGTGATTTGAAGTGCCACTATCACAGAATAGTTATTTCGTTCTATCCTGAGAGGATTAATCCGTTTTGGGCAAGAGTGAGGGAATTAAATTCCTTAAGAACACATTGTGCATTCAGTGGACTCGGAATTATTTTACGTTTTGTTTATTGAACTAACATTTGTTTACTTCTCTAATTTTCTGATTTTGAACACAGTATAATACCAACATCAGTCACAACATAACCAAATATTGCATTAGTTAGAGAGATTGTTTCCAATAGACCCTCAACCACAGTCACAGCAGCAAAGCAACATTAGTTATACAACTGTATTGGGTGATACCCTTTTTTTTGCTTGAACCCGACCGGGTGGATCCGGTCCGGAGCAAGTCGGGGCCATCGAACCCGACCTGGATGCAAGGTAGAACAACGGCCACGTCTACAACCGAGGTCGAGTCATTTCGAGACCGTTACAGAGCTCGAAAGGAATCATCACCGGATGGAGAAACACACAAGGTCGGAAGCCGGGCTCGTAACGGATAACCAAGCGTCGCCGGATATCTCGCCCAAACGTGATTTTCTCAACCACTTCAGGCCATTAAGGCGTAATTACAGGGATCCACGATGTAATCAATTTACCTACCTTATTTTTACCCTCAATCAGAATGTATAAATGGGTATCTCTCTAAATTCTTGTGGGGCATCAAGCACAATTGTTCTAAGCAATATTATATTCTGCGATTATTTACTTTAACAGCAATTGTTGAGTCTTTATCTTTATTTTCCTCAACCTAAAAGCCTTTTGTATCTTTTAGTTCACGGATCCTTAAAACCCCATATAAATTCAATTGTTATCCGGATTCGAGGGTAAACAGTTTGGCGCCCACCGTGGGGCTAAGGATATTGGTGAGCTCTTTGATACTCTTTCTTGACGCATCGCAATACACTGGTTCTTTGCAAAAGAGTCCATCTTACATTCAAATTACCAACTCATAGAATGGCACAATCAATTAACAACGAACTTGAACAGCAGACAGGAAACAATGGAATGCCCGGGCTCGAAAACCCGATAGATGCCGGTTCCCGGATGGCGCTCAACACTGATCAGGCCTCCGGATCATCGCATAGCGTCCGGGGAGAGGACGATTCGAGGGCCCAGGCAGTCGGCGAAGAGACTATCAACCTTAAAATGATTTTTGACATGCTGCAAGCCCAGCAATCGGCTATAGCTCAGCTCCAGAGCCGGGTCCAGGAGCCTGTCAGGTCCGAGGAGGCTCCCCGTGCAGCTGCAATCATCAATCCAACCCCAGTACAGCCGGAACGGGGTGGGGCGGATGCTGATTCTGCGGTTCTTAGGAGGCTAGAAGAACTGACCGAACGAATCGAAAGGGGGGAGAAAAAAATCGAGGCCAACAATAAAAAAGTAGAAACATACAACTCCAGGGTCGACCAAATACCAGGTGCACCTCCGGTCCTGAAGGGCCTTGACGCTAAAAAGTTTGTACAAAAACCGTTCCCATCCAGTGCCGCCCCAAAACCTATCCCTAAGAAATTTAGAATGCCCGATATCCCGAAGTATAATGGGACCTCGGACCCAAACGAACATGTGACAGCATACACATGCGCGATTAAGGGAAACGATCTCGAAGATGATGAAATCGAGTCAATTTGTTGAAAAAGTTCGGAGAAACCTTGTCCAAGGGGGCAATGACGTGGTATCATAACTTACCGCCAAATTCCATCGATTCGTTCGCCATGTTAGC